GATGTGCGTATTGTGTCCAGTAAGTTCTGAATAGGAAGGGGCACAAAGGGGGCAGGGGCGGGGAGACAACCAGAACTGAATTCTCGTGTAGGGAGACATTTTGTTACAAATCTCTGAGAGGGAGGGGTCATGGAATTTATTCCTTACTCATCCCGGGTTGGCCACGAAAAGCTAGGTCGAGGTCCGCCACCTCCCTAAATAATCTGAGTAGTGTCGAAGAGAACAAAAAACACCCACATTCAAATAATAGACTCCGAGCCCTTATAAACACAATCTCTAGAACAGCGCCCCCTTCCTCTCGGGGTCACTGGCCGAGCAGTATTTACATAGCAGGCTTAATAACAGTGCCGAAAGAGCTACCCCGATACCCCATGCCCTGACCGGTCGATCATGGGCGATCATTGGCGAAATGGATGATGGATTAAAAGAGATAAAAACCTGACACTAGTAGAGATCTATCATTGGAGCATGGATCTTACTGGGGTGATAATAGCTCGTTTAAAGACAAGCGGGCGAAAAACACTGCAGAGTTATAGTATAGGTATTTATTAATAACCCTCAGGAATGGTCGCTCACAGTGTAGATATGCGCCGAGTGTGTACATAAATCATACCCAACACGTCGCTCTCAGTTGTCTATGTCCCGGGTGAAAACAACTTTTCGGAAGTAAGAATATTGTATTTTTGTATTCATTAGAAACAGTAATAATATAATACATTGGTTTATCGTAAATGCCGACATTGTTATATTTTTATCTCTCTGAAACAATAACTTTACTCTTTTATCTCTCTGAAAAAATAACTTTACTCTTGTATCTCTCTGAAACAATAACTTTACTCTTTTATCTCTCAAAAACAAAATTGCACTTCTGTTTCTTAGAAATAAGTGCATTGCAGTTGTAGTATTGTTCCTCGGAAATAAGAACATTGTATTTGTGAGGCAGCGTGGTGGAATCAGGCTCTCGTCAAAATAATCAAAGTGAAGAAACTTGCATTTTTCTGCTGGTTTGTGAATTTTTATCAAATTTTTGTTCTTTGGCTTAACACCTTTCATGCCCATTAAAGAACTCATTTCTGTATCGTTTATTTTTAAAAAATTTAATTAAAGGCACAAAAAATGTTAATTTTCAGTTACCACAACTCTTAAGCTAAGGAAATAACTAATCTTTGGCAGCCATTTTCTCACTAATTTTACCTCTGAAAACAGGTGACCCCCATCTCCTTCATTCGCAAATATCTTGACTTGTATTCAAGATAAGTGGATATTTTTTCATCATAATAAACACAAGTAAACAAGATTTAAGATGATACAAATAACTCTACATGCCCAAAATTTGACGAGAGCCTGACTCCACCACGCTGCCTCACATTTATTTATTTATTTATTTATTTATTTATTTATTTATTTATTTATTTATTTATTTATTTATTTATGTATTTATGTATTTATTTATTTCTATTTTTTATTTATTTATTTATTTATTTATTTTTTTTTTTTTTTATTTTTTTTTTTTTTTTTTTTGGGGGGGGGGGGGGGGTTCTCGGAAAGAAATAACATTAAAGAATCGTTCCTAGAAAAAAAAATAACACAGTAGTTTTCATTCCCAGAAATAGTAAACTTGTTGTTTCTCCGAAATAACATTGTACTTTGTTCACTTCGTTTGTCATAAAGGACACTTTCCTAGATTAGACTGTATTTTATCGTAGCCTTTACTTTCTTCATTGTTGAAAGCACTAGGCGTGAATTTCAGTCTTTCCTGAGTGGGTGGTTGACGGGTGCTCTGGTGTGGTTTGCTTCTTTTTTCCTTTCAAACATCTATCGTCATTATCTCCCCTCCTTCTTGTTTGTGTTTGTTACTCTCTTTTAACATCTCTAATCTTCAGGACTTATATGACATTATTGTGTAGCAAGTGCTGTAAAGCTCTCACTGAAACAAAATGTTTGCTGTGTAGGTTGATTTTTGTGTTTCTTTTGTAATCTATAAATATGCCAGTACATACGTGTTATCTCCCCTTCAACCCGGTCGGTGCTGATATGTAGGGTCGAAGCAGTTCCGCATTATCTAGTCGGAGGCGTCTCCGAGGGGGATAGACCAATCAAAATGCTTTGTGCTTCTAGACCAATTAAGTTTTTTTTTAAGCTGAAGGTTACAGGAGGTTAACCCATAATTTGATATTTTGCAGTAAAGTTTGAAATTTTCTTAAAAATAATTGATTTGCAACAGTTTTAGTGTCTACATGTTTGATCTGCAGCACACAATACGCAGTTTGATCCCCAAAGCAGTGCATCTGCGTGCAGGGGTACATCTCCGAATAGTTCCTGGGTGCTCGCCGGAGATGTCTCCGAATATCTTTTCCCAAACAGTTCGCATCCTAAATGGTCTAAGTTATGTCCATGGTGACGTAAGATGTTTTGCCACAATCTTTTAAAGTCATAACTTTTGAACCGATATAGATATTATACAAATTGAAACTTTATGCTGCACTTGGTTTCAAAGAAAGTGAATAATTATATAATTGGGTCTTTTTCAGATTTTCACAAACTGTCTGGAACAATCAGGACTATGACTAAGACTCACAACATGATTGCAGGGTTGCCTCTCTTCATACCATTCCATATTTTATTATTAAGGGTGTACATCGTCCTGTATAATGTGTTTTTACGGTCCTGTATAGCCAAGAAAAAATTCCATCTGGGATAATAAAGTATTTTCTTAACTTATCTTACCTTATCAAGTTTGCACGAACAGGAGTGGGTTTTTTTTTTGGGGGGGGGTCTTCTACTGCATGCTTTGTTTTAGTTGATTTACTCTACGATCGACACAATTTAAATAGTAGGTTAACTCTGCCTTCAGGGCCAACCTGGGCTGAGAGGGATACAATACATGTTCCAAGAAGAATGACTCAGACACTCGATAACAATTCTTCCAACTCAGGAATTAGACTCGGGTGTT